CACAAAGAAGAAGACATTTACGATCCAAAAGTGGAACGTATTCGCTCTCTATTACCCATTTTTCTAGCGTGAGGAACGCTTTCTGGGCTGTTTGGGGCACCCGCGTGTACCCGCGGGCTCGTGTGGAACAAACCTAATATTGCAGCGATATGTACATACATACAGATGCATATTTGTGTGGAAATCATTACGCATTTTCATTTGGCCATTTACAACTCGTTGTTAAAGTTTGCATTTTCTTCATGCACAATGCAAACTTAAAATGAAAATATCTTGCGAAAATGATCTGATTCAGAAAAACGTCACAGGGCCGTAATCAACGACCCAAAATTAAGTTTTCGTGTTGTGGGATTTTTTGTGTAATTTCGAAATTTAAAATTTTCCTTACAGTGCTATTGAACGTAACCGCATTTTTTTTGCAATGCATTATCACAGTAAATTAATATTTGCAAAATTATACGAGTCAACGGAAACTTTGAGTGCGACAACGACGCATACGTTCCATACCGCGATATAAGATTTATTGACAGACGTTTATAAAAAAGATACATATTAAATCGATTAAATGTAGTTTCATTAGAAGATTAAATGTTATTAAGCAAACGCCAATAAATATGCAATACATTGTGAGGTAAACCACTACAATAATGTACGCATACAAACAAACAAGAAAACTTGAAAGGTTGAAGATATGCAGAATTGCACCAGGGGTTGAATACATGAATAAAAGAACACACACATTCATACTGAATACAAATTTATGCAATTCTGCGCCTAGTTTATGTGGGTATATCCGAAAGTTAAGTTGAATTAAGTACGAATGGATGTACATACATATTTTGCAGTATAGTTTCATAAACAAAATTATTTACATACCCTAAGTACTTAGAAAAATTTTACGTACCGAGCGTTTTTATTACAAAGTATTTTCGAAAATTTCTTTATTTGGAAGAAAATGCCCAAGACTCTGACGGTGAAAGGTTATCAAAAATCAACGGAGTTTTGTAGTAACTTAAAACCTGCACATTAGATAATATACTAAAATCGAATGATCTATAAAACTGTATGCCAAAAAAGTTTGTGAAAATTCTGATTTTTCTAAATTATAGAGAAAGTTTGAAAGTTAAATATACCTAAATGGTTTATATTATAGAATTTACTATATTTTTATAAAAAATTAACGAAACAAAAAACTCTTCGTACACAAACATTTTCTAGTGGGGTTATTCAATTATTTGTGATATGTATTTAATGTTTATTTTTTATCTTGCCCTGATAACAAACTTTTTCTACTGACTTCGACTAATTAATTCCTGTTTTAACAGGACGGTGCCACCTTCCACGCAGCGCATGAAATAATGGCCCTATTGCGAACGAAGTTCCTAGGACGCATTATCTCACGTGTCAAATAGCCGCCGAGAGCTTGCGATTTGACACCATTGGACTACTTTCTCTTGGACTAAGTGCAAAATATCGTCTATGACAATAAAAAAAAGCCCGAACTATGCCAAAAAGTCGTGGATAATGTTGATATGCGCATCCTGTGTTGCTAGAGGAGTCGTGGTGGGCATTTTACTGATATTGAGTTTCATGCGCAAATGTCATAGCCTAAGAAACAAAGAAAATCTGCTGTTTACTTAATCAAGTAGTGTCAAATCAAACTATGCGCATTTAGAAAAATAATTTTAGCTTTATTGGGACACAGATTTTCAGTGCAATCCCAGCACAAAACTTATGTAAATCCACTAGCACAATATCTGTGCATACGTATGTGTGTATGTATGTACGTATACATACCCACTAGAACTTGAAGGGAGATCTCCCTATGTGAGGAATAAAAGAGTACTCCCCTTAACCTGATTTCTGAGCAATAAGGGAGATTTGTCGGTTTTGTACTCCTTTATTACTCGTTTAGGAATCAAATAGGAGATCTCCTAAGCGAGCGACGAAATAATACTCCCTGAGGCATGATTTGGGACCAATAAGCGAGATTTGTCGGTTTTGTACTCCGTTATTACTCGTTTAGGATTAAAAAGTGATGTCTCCTAAGCGAGAAGTCCAAGAGTATTCTTTTTGATTGATAGGAGAGCAATACGCACCTCG